CTGTATTTCTGAGTGTTTTATGTGCTGCAGCACAGGAACCTGCTGTAAAACAGCAATTATGCTGAGTCAGGCTTGATTTTTAATAATCTTATCCTGTTAAATCAATAAATCAAATCAAATCAAATCAAATTCAGCTCCTTCAGGACATTCTTGCTATGACTTTTGGTAATTCAGAAATGTATACTTTTTCAGCTATTTTTGCTTTCATTAAAAATAAAGGAGTTGTCTTTAACATCCTTAAAGTGTACCTAACCTCCCTGTGAAAGCATAGTGCCCACCCCCAGGCAAATTTTGAAAAATTCCAACAAAGTGGGTGGTGTAAAAAAACACTGTAGGAGCTTATATGGGGATGATCCAGGAGGTGTGGTGAGGATGAAGGAAAGTGACAACTACAAGCTAGCATTTCTGAAAATATTCATAAAGTTCTAAAGAAATAAATGTATTTTGTAAATAGTAAAATTTTATGACATACATGCAAACTCATACTTAGCTGTTTCAAACTAACATGTAAAGTTGAGGTAACTGTATAAAATTTTTGGTAAATTTCTGCTGTAATTAGTTTGAAACATCTTTGCAATTTTTCTACTGATTTTTCACTTTTGTTTTCCTACTTTCATCTAAAGTCTGCCTTTCAAATTCACTTTATCTCTCTTTTTTTAAAACTCTTCAGCAATTTTTCATGCAATTGTAGCATGGCAGGATTTCCACGCAACCAGCTGAGCATAGAACCCTATTGAAACTTCTCTTTAAATTATGTGAGGAAACTGATCAGCCAATTAAAGTTTGAACAGGGGTATTTTTAATGACAGTCTAATTGAATCAGAAGCTGTATGGAGTGTTGGAGTGATGGTTCAGTTCTTTAGATTAATTTATGTTTAGTTTTATTTTTCTTAGATCTATTTGAGACCTTAGGGCTTCTAATAGACCTTATACCAGACTTTTTTGCTGTCCGTCATTTTGACTGACAGCATAAAAGGAAAAGGCTGGAGTTTGCAACATTAGATAATGCCTCCTTTTTTGTCTCTGCCTCCCTTGCAGGAGGACGAGAGAAAAAAGAAAGGCAGAGATGCAGTCACTCTTAACGCACCGTTGCCACCGTGTTAAAAATATTATGCAATAAAATGTCTCTAAGAAAAATCTCACGTTACGCACATCTGCGCCCGTCGTTCTGAAGTTTAAACCTGCGCTCTGCTGCAACTGTTGGAATAACAAGCACCACTTGAGCCAAAGTTTTAAAATCAGAAAACATTTCTCCAATCAAAGTGATCAGAAGTCAGCAAGACTTTATTCCCAAATCTCAAAGCTGTGGTTTTAGCAGGAGGAAATCCTTCAGCATGCGCTCTCGCTGCGCCACTGGTTCAGCTGCGCCTCAGACACGCTCCAAATCCTCCTGTCCTAAAGGCCCCCACAGACTCGGGCTTACTTCGGTCCATGGAGGTCCGCACGGACTCAATTGGACCCGAAGCGGACATCCGCCAGACTGGTCCGCGCAGAGATAAATTTTTTACGTCCGCGTCCGTGACGCGCACAATGGCATGTACTGTTCTGGGTCCGACACCAAGCTGATAAACGTTGAGAATCTGTGTCATTTGTGGACGAAATGGAGTCATATCTTGAAAAGCATCTCATGGAAGAGATTAGAAAGCTTTATGACGCATCAATGAAGGAATATAAAGACTTTCAGCGAGCAACAAATTTGTGGGAGGAAATAGATCAGATCCTGGGTAAGGTAGTTCTTTTCTTTTTTCTTTTAAGCTAAAATGCAATCTATCTCCTCCTCCTGATCCTTGAAATCATGAATGAAATTGCGAAAAATTTAAAGAATTTGTCCGGCGGTCAGTACGCTCGAGTATGAACTCTCAAACATCCGCAGACAATATGCGCGGAGTCCGCGCGGCTCACAGACCGCACACAGTATGGCCGAGCCTTTACTCTTCAATGCTTTGTCAGCTCCTGGAGATACATTCAGTATGGTGTCTAGATCTGAGATGATGATCAGATGGGAATCTTTTATTTATTTTAGGTTAAATAAGACACCTCCGGTGTGTTAATTGCAATCTGTCAAAATGACGGACGGCCTTCAGATTTTTCCGTCATTGTGTTAAAATGGGTCAAATACGGAAAATTTTCCGTTAACGCGACCTCTGCCTTATACATACACTTCATCGTGCTACAGCTCTGGTGAACTGGTTGACAGGGCGCTGGGGAAGACATGAGCCACTGTTGATGTGCGTAAATAGGCTTAGACCCTGGTCATAACTGCTTTGCAGTTCTAGTTTTACATTGTATTAGTTGCAGGTTAGAAGTGGTGGTCACTAAAAAGCAGTGTTATTAATCTAAAGGGCTACATATTTATCTGTATGTAGAGTACAATCTGATACCTCCAGAACGTTATACTGAGAGTTATTCACTTGTGACTGAATCAGCAAGGAACACTGTGCTAAATCTGAACAGGGGCTTGTGAAAATCCACAAAAGATTGAAATGCACTGCTACAGTGTTATATTTAGGCCTATAAAGACACTCACTTCTGGTTCTGTTCCATTTTTAGCAGAGCTGACAAAGCTGATGTGCCTCTCTTTCCTTGTGGTGGCACTACAGGCTCCGTTGGGTATGGAGGGATAGGACTGGTAACTTGCAGTCCTTTTAATGATGTACCCTTCTGCTACAAGAAACAAAAGGAAGACTATCAACATGTAAAGACACACACAACAAAACAAAACACGTGTTTGTAGTAAAACAAGTCTTGTAGGAAGAATGGATGTTAAAATGTTAAAGCAAAATCACTCTGCTATGATCAAAAATCAACAGAGAAATCACATCACAACATCAGAGTAAGCCAAAGCCAGCCTCACCCTGATCATTCTATCAGAGCGATGACGTCGTCGAATGCGGTTGAGGCCCTCCAGGAAGCGAATGAAGCCATCCAATAAGATCCAGTCTCCATAGCCACCCATTCCACTAGTACCCTCACCGTACACATCCCAGTGCCCCTCCCCATCTGCCATGCGTTTAGCCCCACCGGCTGGCAGCAACAAGAAGCGGGTCCTCCAGAATTTTAGAGAGTCAATCAGGCTGATGGGGAGAAAGAAGGTGTAGTATTGGTATGAGACCTGCAACACTAGTACTTTTAGATAGTACGCCCTCTGTCTTATTTTACAAAATAAAAAAAAACTAAACTAAACTAAAGGTAAAGATCATTGACCTCCATCTGAATTAATTAGACACAAGTGATGTAGTGAATTGAGCTAGACTCAGTCTTGACCCGCCCACAGCGAGACCTCCAGTGAAGAAAAAGGCAACACTGGCACAAAGGGGAAAAATGCAACAATATCAACCAACATAGCTTAGCTTTTACACAGAAAATGTAATGCAAGTTATCACTAATGTTTTCACAATGAATTCGAACCTGGATTTTTCTCAATAACTTATAAATTAAAGTTACTTTTTTGTAGTTGAATTACACAATGTTTTTATATGTAACCACTTAGTCCCAACTCCTGAAAGTCATCCACTTGAGAACCCCTACACTACGAAACAAACTGAATAAAGAGTGTAGATATGTGCCCTTTAAACACAGAAGCGTTTGTACCTGAAGTCTTCTGAGCCTGCAGAGCAAATATATTGGTCCAGGTAGTTCCATTTATATTCCTCCAGTCTCTCGTGTCCAAATTCCACCCAGCAGGAAACAAACTGATCCTCAGAGTGTGAAGGACACAGACTGTAGCTGTATTGGATCTGAGTGGACTCATATGGGTACCTGAAATGCAAACAATGCAAGATATCCAAATTTCAACCTGAAACTGTTATAATTTTTTTATTTACAATTTTGTAGCTCATTTATTAACACATAAAACCATATTGCAGTGCTTCAAATGTGTTAGCTACAATTTCAAATCTCAATTGAGAAAGCTTGTTTGAAGAGAAACAATACATCTTAAAAAAGAAGCTCAGTAGCTTTTCTTCAAACAAACTAGCTTTACAAAGCCCTGGTACGTGGGGATCATCAAAGCTTTTAAACAATAATGTTCAGTTTAGGTACAGTGCTTGTACTGGCAAAGCAAGGCTGATAATTCATGCTGTTAAAAAAGTAAATAAATAAATAAAAATCATTTAAACTTAAATTGACATATGGGTTGAAGACAATTTTGTGTACTTTTTAAACTGTACTTAAAATCTATTTTCAGTGATATGCTTTGAACAGAGTCAGTATGTTTTGGTCCTCTTCTAAAGAAACAAACCACATTCACATGGATGATGTCATTTATACTAATCTATCCAGGAAATTGTACTGTAGAAGCTTTACAAATATAGAAATGATCCACAGAGACCATTTTGAGTCTAAGCTGTTTTAGGTAGGAGATGTTTTGGGTGGAGGTAAAGAACATGTGTATGGAGCTGTTGGACTCTTAGTAACACGCCCACTTGAAATATGGAATCTTTCGCAAAACCGTTTGCTAGAGCAATTGTAGAGATTGTACTGGCGCTTTTATGTCAGTTAATATTTGGAGAACTCACTTTGGCAAGTAGCGAGTGACAGTGATGATCTTGTCTCTGAGACAGACTTTATGGAAGGTGCGGCCCATGCTGAGCCAGTAAACAGTCTCCTCCTCCTCTGCTCGCCGGAGTGAGACCAGACCTGTAACAAAAAAGAGTAACAGAAATCATCAAAGAAAACTGAATCAATTAAAATTTCCCATCATCATCTATGCAAAAGGGTGATCGGTTCTTCTGGTACTTGATAAACTGAAGTATATTAAGTTCATTTACCTCTGGTGTAAAGAGGACTACTGCCAAGGGGTGTGGCCACAACTGGGGTTGGCTTCCTGTTATTTGACTGGACAATAATCTGATATCCCTGCATCAACCTCTGACAGATAAACTCATCAAACACTTGTGAGGCAGTCATCAACGGCGCCTCATCGTCTCGCCTTAGAAAAAGAAGATGGAATAAAACAGACAAAAAAAATTAGTCAGTTCAAATTTCACTCAAGTACAAGTAAAATCACATGCTAAAAAATCTACTTAAATAAAAGTAAAAAAGTAAGCTATTTAAAATGTACATCAAGTAAAAGTTAATTAGTTTTTTTCTTGCATTAATTGGGGGTCTTTCAAATATTACCCACCAAGGACAAGAACATTAAACAAGGTCTTAAATTAATCCATTCTTGCCATTTTTCTACTGGTCCTAATTTATTATATTTTATTTAATTATTTAATTATTTATTTATTTATTTATTTATTTATTTATTGTGCGTAGGTGTTTCCTTAAGTCAGTAGGCTGGTCCAGTGGTTTTCAAGATATTTTGCTAACAGACAAATAGTGTTGATTTCAATAGTTAAAAGTTTTAAAAACAGAACTTGCGTGATCAACTAGGCCCTGTTCACATGAGAACAGTCTCTGGAAAAATTAGTCTTCTCAATGTTTATTAGGGTGAATAAACAAAAAATATGTACTAATATGCCAAGCAGGGCTGTCAGATGGGATATATTAAACTGTTGTATTTTGACCCAAATTGTCATGTGCTGAGGGAGGGTGTTATGAGGATGAGAATCATAAGATTGTTGTGTTTGGTGAAAATGTGAACAGAAAAGGAGGGGTTAAAGCACATTTTTATTTCGTCTTGCAACCCTGATAACTGAGTATGCTCAGCTGCCTTCTTCTTGCATCTGGTGTTGGCATGATCACAGTTATGTCCAAACTAGTGGATACACTAACGTTCCTTCAGACCTAGGATGTTGTTGGTTATGCTCCTACATGCTGTAAAAGGGTGAGTAGAACAAAAACACTAAATATTTGTAACTGTTGTTAGTTCAGTGCTCTCTTAACACCTGTGGGGAATTTCACACCTCTGCATGGGGTTCCCCCAAAAATCTCCACTCTGAGACCAGGTCTCAGAAACCTTTGGTTTCAGAGAGGACGAGGGCTGTTGTAGGATACATGATTGGCTGGATTTGGCAGAAAACCTGTGGTTTCACACTAATCTGCATTATGTAAACGAGGCCTCAGAGCTTGATGTATGTGTTGAAATAGATTTTAAACTAAAATCACACCGTTGTTTCTTAACCGTGACAGAGTAGTAGCCATTTTGGGTTTATTGAAGTGAAATGGGTGTGGTGGACATCTTACATGGGATTGACTCCAACATATTCATACATGACGTTTACCTGTGTCATGCCCCTTAAAAAAATCGTAATTTTCACAAATAATCCATATTACTCATATGCAGTGGGGGTGGGTTTGCAGGCGGACTGTCAGATGCGGGGAATGTGAGGTGGAGATAACAGAACAGGGACAGGAGGACGGGGCGAGGTGGAGAACTTATTTCTAGCGGCAGTATGGGTTGATATTTAATTTGTTTTGTGTTTTTACATCTTACAGGCTCTGAGATGTAAAATAAACTTGTTTTAAACTTGTTTTTGAAAGATTCCATATTTCCGTATATGTCCGTACACCTGTGAAATGTAGGGAAATCTGTGTAATATACGGGCAATCTGTACAACTTGACAAGTATGCATGTTTCTTACAGTACATTCAGTTATTACTTTGTGAGTTTCATTAAAGTACATTAGCTGTTCATTGAGATCTTTTGTCAAGGCTACAGCCAGACGCATGCTTGCACAGACACTGGCAAAAAACCTTTACCTCCAACACAGAACATTCAGTTCACTATAATGAACCTTGCAACATACAACATATCTAATGAGAAAGCAACATAAATTGCATGTTTTTTTCTAAATGGCACACCTTTCCAAGTCTCCATGAGGCAGCAGGTCATAGCAGCCTTCAGTGTAGTCATTCTGCAGAGTCTGCCGGTCAGGAAAGTAGTCGGTGGTGAGCGGGAGGCAGGCCGGTGTGGTCAGGGACTTCCAGTCTACCCCCACTGTGCAGCAGAAGCTGGGCACTGTGGGGGGTGCAGACAGTAGCAGGGCTTCACACATAAAAAAACACATACCCACCGCAAAAACAAATGCATGTACCCAGAATGGACAGGTACAGGTGGGATGGAAAGGGTGATAACAGAGGAGTGATAGGAAATAACAAAAGGAAGTGAACAGGAAGTGGACGTAAAATAAAGAGATGGAGAAGCAAACACACAAAACAGAACAGATGGGAAGAAAAAAGAACAGAAGTGTTACTTTTCCTGCTGCTGATTCTTGCTGTAGTTGTGAAACAGGGATCAGACATGCAGAACGTGGTCCTTAATCTCAACAAAGGTGCTGACTGAGTGAATTCAAGAAGAGAAATTACATCATGCAAATATACAGAGTGAGGGGGGATTATATATGTTAAACGTTTTGTTTGAAAGCAAGAGATCATTTGACAGCATAACCCATTTCTACACATTTGAGAGATAGCTGCTTTGAAACACAGCCATGCAATAACATTTTAAAATAAATGCAACAACAAACATAAAGAAAATTTATAAGAAGTCAGAATTATCAGAAAATATAAGAATTCCAAAGATAGATGGGTAGAGAGTGAGGGTAGAAAGGGAAGGAAAGAAAGGAGGGTGAGAGTTACCCCAAACCACATGACCAGTTTCTACCTGTGACCCCTTTGGGACAGAAGCCCAGTCCAGAAACCTGTATGCCAAAACTTAATGACCCCTAACAAGTAAAAACACCTCAAAAGGTTTACTATCATCATCAGTTTGGTGATTAATATCATTCTGAGGCTGCATAACAATGAGAATCTTTGAATTTCATTGTGATAGCAAAAGAGTGAAGTGACTCACTTGGATCTGCTCCGTTTGTAGAAAACTCTTGAAATGAGGAGCAGTGGTGGGTAAGAGGTCCTGCACACAGTTTCACAATTACAACAAAGAAACAGCAGATAGTTACCATCTTTGCAAGTAACCAGTTTTATGTTTGTTCAGCTGATGATACCTTCCTCTAAAGATGGTTTCCTTAAACCCAGTATTGGACTAAGATGTACGTATGTCTTGTTTTACCACCGTACATACTTCAAGCTGGCTGAGCTTAGGTTTGTTTAAAAAATATGTTAATTCATGCTTTAACAAGAGGGGCAAATACTTTTTCATACAGGTTGGTTTGGATGCATTTTATGTTTACTCAGGTTATCTTTGTCTTGTATTAACATTTGTGAATTAAGTGTGACAAAAAGCAAAGACAAAACTAAGTGGGTGAATGCTGTTTTAATTAGTCTGAAAAACTGATGACAAAGCTAAACAGCCAGCCTGTTTCATTACAGTTAAAGAGGCAGAATTTCACAATTTCTTTATTAACCTTTATTTAACTTGGCAAATCGCACTGAGATCACAGATCTCTTTTGAGAGGGACACCTGGAGGCCGCCTAAATGAATGTATACAGCTGAAATAAAATACTAAGTCAGCTCTTGAGTACAAATACCACCACTGTTGCTGCTCCCCGGACTTTCGGTGAACTCCTCTGTTCCTACACAAGTGTAGAGGCCGTTTTCACCTGCTTGCCGAGAAGCCGTTTGCCTTAAAGAAAAGAAAGAAACAACAAATATTGGCATCATCTGTAAGAATGTCACATCTGTTAAAGTTTTCATTTGCTCATCAACAGTCTCATCTTAAACAGGAACTTTAGAATTGACTTGATAGAGTGACTTTGACAAACTCACAAATTTTGCGAACACCTTAAAAGTAATTATGCTCTTACAGGAGTTTTATAAATACTGTTTTTATGTGTGTAAAATATGATCTCAAGTGTAATACGACCCACATCTTTTGAACTACAACATCTAATGCTCATGTATAATGCTACGCCTAAACAGAAGGTCAGCTACAGAGATCTTTGTGGTTTGAATCCCCTTTCAGTGACCATAAGTGGTTGGTCACTGAAGTTAATGATATGGTAAATATCAAAGAGGAAGTTATGTTTACACATTGTTGATATACAGGGGTTAGACAATGAAACTGAAACACCTGGTTTTAGACCAGAGAGTCTTAACCTATGGGCTGCGGCCGAGCACCACCTTGTGGGCCTCAAAAGAACAACAGATTTTAACTTTGGGCCGAAGAGGGCCGTGGGACCACATTGATTTTGAATAAGGTGCAATACACTTTCTCACCACTTGTAGCAGTAGTGCGCCACTCAGATGTTTAACAACTTTTTTAATATGTAGAAGAAGAAACTTAGAAACCTGCCGAAAACGGAAACTTATTTTAAATGAAAAATAGAAGCAAAAATGAAGGCAACCCATCAAAAAACACCAAAGTTTGTCACTATTATGAAGTGCAGCTTCTGTTTTTACCATGCAATACTTTAAAAGTTCAAAACATTATCAAATACAGTTGCAGTTACAACTATATTTTAATTTGCATTTTATCAAATTATTTTTTGTAGTTTATTTTTAAATATTTTAATGTATTTTAAAGAAACATTAAACTTGTCAAAAAGCTGTTGTTTCTGTTATTGTTTGTCACTAATATGAAGAGCAGCTTGCAAAAGTTTAAAAAGGCTTTATTTTCATTTGTACTTTATCAAATTTAGTTTTATAGTTTTTTTGTATTTGAAACATTTAATCATTTTAAATTTATTTATCTTATGCCCACAATTTTATTTATTGAATTTTCTATTTTTGTTATTTATGTTAAAAATATATATATTGTGTTGATAAGCCTGAGTGGTCTGCTGACTGACTGTTGTATTTGTTCAAATAATTGTTTACAATATAAAAATTGTTTGTCATAATCATGTCTTGTGATTCTTTGACATGAGTTTTACTTTTAAAATGTAAGTGTATTTAATTTAGTTGTAATGTAAGTACAATAAAAATTAAACCAAGATTTAGAATAATTATCTTTTTATCCATATATCTGACTGGGTCTCGTGACACTTTATGTTCAATAAATTGGGGCCCGAGGTCAAAAAGGTTAAGAAACCCTGTTTTAGACCATAACATCCCTTTCAGACAGCTTAATCTTGCGTCCACAGTTAATCCTGTTGGATGTGGTTCGTCCTTCTTGGTGGTATGCTGACATTACCCTGGATACCGTGGCTCTTGATACATCACAAAGACTTGCTGTCTTGGTCGCAGATGCGCCAGCAAGATGTGCACTAGGGTGGTCCCAAAATATAAACGTCTACTTTTCCAAAATGCTTCTTCAGTTTTTTATTCCATTTGTGGAAAAAAAATGGGGTGAAATTTCATTAGATTTGAAAAATATTACCCACTGCCGCTCAACCCGTTTTTGTGCCATGCGAGTGAAATTTTGAGTTCTGATTCTGTCATTGCCAAGGCCACCAGCGAGACATTAGCCAGAAATCTGTGGTATCTGAGGAAAGAACTGGCCAGACTTGTCATATTTGACAGCAGCATTATACATAATGATCGAAGCTGTTCTCAAGGAGGAAGGTCACAATGATCCTCAGTCATGTGCAACAGTAGACCTAGAAGCAAATGGAGGTATTGTTACCAAAACTGTGGCAGATTTTGTTACATTTGCCCCAAGTCCCATTTTGAGGCATTCAGCATCAACATGAACTACCTTGTCAAGGACCCATCAGAATGGATGACCCATCATTCCAGGTTCTGTATAGCATTAGGATGCCAGTGACCAATGATTAGGATGTAAGTGACCAATGATTAGGATGTCAATGACCAATGATTAGGATGTAAGTGACCAATGATTAGGATGTCAATGACTTTAATAAACAGGAAACTCATCCAGGATTACAATCAAGTGATCAGCAGTGGCAATACATGCTGCAAGTTGTTAGGTGGCACCGATATCAGTTCCTGGAAGTGAAGAAAGTCATGACCAAATGCCACTCTTCATGACTGTTTGTTCTCACCAAATATGTGAACAATGACTCTTATTTATTTTATTTGTGTCTTGTAAGCCCATCCATCCATCCATTAGCTTCTTTCTTTCAGGTTCATGGTGCCCACAGCAATCACTGTTCACAAGTCCATCATAGGGCCACATAGATGGGGACAATTTAGAGTCAACAATGTTGTTTTTGGAAGGAAGCCAAAGCACCTAGAGAAAACCAATGCACGCAAAGAGAGAACATGCAAACTCCACCCAGGGGGGGGTCCTTGGGCCGGGATTCGATCTGGCGACTGCTTGCTGAGAGGCATCTGCTCTACCAACTGAGACACTATGCTGCCACTTTGTCTCACTTTGTATTTCATATCTAAACAAGCATGTTGGCATGTACAAATGAGCTCAACCATTTTAATTTTCACCCCACATGGGGCAGTGGTTAGAAAAGTTGTATCGACACAAAATTTGGTCCAAAGGATTTTCTTTGCAAAAGGAACAATTTTGCCAGGAAGCACCTTAAAAACTCACATTTTTATTTTTGGCATACTAGAGGACCACCCTAACGTGCACCAACAATGTGTCCTCTTTTGGACTCTGGTATATCGCCCATAATGTTGTGTGCATTGCAATATTCTGAGCCAAACTGTGCTCTTACCCTGCTAATTGAACCTTCACACTCTGCTCTTACTGGTGCAATAATTAATGAAGATTGGCCACCAGGCTGGTCCAATTTAGCCATGAAACCTCCCACACTAAAATGACAGGTGTTTCAGTTTCATTGTCCAACCCCTGTACATACATACATGGTAAGAAACAGGTATGTATGGGTTGTATTTTGCATTAGTAGTCTCTTCAGGCTAATGCTGCGTTCACACCGAAAGTGTTTTGAGCATTAAAAGCACGTCCAACGCTTCAAATTGGAGGCTTGTGCACTTTGAGGTCAGATGCTTGTTAAAATTTCTCTTCAGGAGGAGCCTCTTGGTTGTTTTCCTCTGCTGGTCTCTGTACCATGGCAGATGAAATTTTAAAAAGTGCCTCTGCTTACTGAGAGCAAGAGCACGTCATGCTCATCAGATAATTAATTCATAATTAATTTAACAAATAACTTAGAGGAGTTCTAAGTTTGGTGAGTTTCACTCCAGGAGCTGCGAGCTGACGAGGCTCGATTTCAGGACTATTTTTGTCCCGAGCTCATGACAAGCTGCTGACTCTCATCATTCAGGAAACCGTCCCGTCAAAAAATGTGCCAGTGTGTCACATAGCATGATCTCTCTGATTGGTTGATGCTCCTTGTTGATCTGCAACAGTTCAGATTTTCCAATTCCAGCGTCTGACACTTTGGAGGTGCATGACACGATCAAAACGCGCTGCAACAGAACTTCCTGATGCCCCTTGACGCACGTCCACCATAGCCTTTGCATGTAAACCTGGCGCTCAAAACACTTTGGGTGTGAACGCAGCATACCATTTCTCCTCTACCGACCTTCCAGTGGCTTCGTGATAAGCCAACTCCAGCAACTCTGCAGATGTGTGTGTTGGATCTCTTTGCTGGTTCCCCTGCAGCTCTGCCATGTTCTGTCGGGTCTGGTGATGAATCTGGATTGCCTCTCCAGAAGGATCTGAAGAACAATGTCACACATTAGTTTGATAAAACAGCCGGTCGAGGCAGATGGCCGCCTGTCCTGAGCCTGGTTCTGCTGGGAGGTTTCTTCCTGTTAAAAGGGAGTTTTTTCTCTCCACTGTCACCAATGGGCTGCTCAGTATGGAGACTGTGATGAAGTGATTCAACACAATCTGCTGGTTTCTTTAGATTTACTGGGGTTTTTTTTTTTTTTTTTTTTTTTTTTTTTTTTGTGTACAGTGCCCTGAGACTAGCCTGGCCCTTGCCTTCCTACACAGTCCGCTCAATTCTACTTTCCCTTCACTGTGTATATATTGATATTACTTTACCTATCAAAATAACGTAATTCTTGTATGAATGTCCATTATAACTACTTCACTTAATAACAACATGTCTTAGCTTTACAACAAAGAAATTTGTTTGAAAATCCTATCAAAATTGACCAAGTTATGGTTATTTAAACAGTAAATACAACACACACATTCATGTTAAGAGTGCTCCCCGACCCAAGATGGCCACCATGTGAGGACGTCGTCTCCATTGGATTGGATTCAGTATTGTATTTTATACTTTCTGATCATTTCAGCCTGTAAGGTTAAAGCAGACAAAGAACTGGTGTGTCTTATCATGTGTTCTTTCTTTTAGTCTAAACAAAACTGAGTGACGTTCTGACGTCTGACGTAAAAGGTAACACCTCCAAGAGTGTAACCAGGAAGAGATGAACATTATAAGCTCAATTCATTATTATAGTAGTAAAAAGTTGTCAGTGTTTTGCAGAGTGTCTGCTCAGAGCAGAGCTCCTGTGTTTGTTTTGATTCAGCCCAAGGTTTTACACTGAGGCCTGTGCTGCTGAGTGCACGCTGTAGCTGATTGGAGTCAGAAGATAGAAAATAAAGTTTTAAGAAGAAATCCATCAGATTCCTGTTTATTTGGACATAACATTTTGAACACATATTTTTCCAACATATTTACTTCCTTCAGTTTCAGAAAGTGATTTTAAAAACTTTGACAGTACTAACCTAATTGTATGAATGCTTATTTTATTTAATTTAATTGAAACATTTTTAAAGATACTGAGATCATTTTCTGAAGGGTAGTACACAAGAGTGATTCTCACTACAGGTTAAAAGCCAATTAGCATGTCAAGATAGCTGACAAAGCTAAAACAATCTGCCTGTTTGTAGGTGGGTATGTTTTCTTTGAGCTCTAACACTGCAACAGTGTAACGTAGGAATGTCAAACTTTACAGCTGGACAGGTTGTGGGTGAGTAATGACTCTTCACACACATTTCTGATTGCTCACTAATCACTGTTTGGTAGCCTGTGATAAATAACTATAATATGAACAAAATGTACAAAAGCCATCAATATTTGCAAAATGAGCTCTTAAGACTACAGATTAACCATTAACCAACTATCATGTTAAAGAATCTTTTTCCCCAACAGTGTATGGACTAACCAACAGGAAAGGTGTGCATCCAGCGCCGGCGGTTGGAGGTGAGCTTCATGGGCATCCTGGATGGTGTGAAGGGGTTAATAAGAGCTCTTTGTGGGGTATAGCCTCCTGGTCGAATATGCAGTGTGGACTCAGCGCTACCGACGGTAAACCGGCCTGGAGCACTGGAGTCTCGCTGAGAATCATTCATCTTCTCCAGTAACTCTAAACATCAAAATGAGATGACAAAAAAGTTCAGTTGTAAAAAACAAAAAATCATAGTTATTTCCCTTCTATTAACTCTTAAACTATAGTTAACTAACCCTAATACTAACTCACTGATTTGGTAATGATTGCTAATGCATAAAACTTTCATTGAATGATAATTCAAAAATAGAATTCTGCAAATTAAGACGAATCGTAAGGTTAAAGATTTTTCCTTTTTTCTAAGGTGCTTCCCTGAGGTTAGATAATTTATGAATTATTAACACTTCATAATGTATCCATTCTAAAATATATACCCTACATTAACATTTGTTTGCTGATCAGAAACAAAAACAATAAAATAAAAAATAAAGTCATTTTTAAAAGTGAGAAATACTTTTTTTACAGCACTATGAAGGGCTCTGGGCCATATAGGAGTTTGTAAAGAAAAGAAGTTGCCAATTCTTTAAAACATAAGGCCTGTTTTATCTGTGCTTCGGCAAAAAAGAAAAGTAAAGCTGCAGGTACCTCTGGTGCTGGTGTAGCCTAAAGAGCTGCTGACTTCAAACTGAGCCTGAGGAACTCTGGGTATCAGCAACATGTTGGACACAGGACCCAGACTATCATCAGATGCCAGGCTTCGTTGTTCCTCCGGCCCTCCTGAACGAACAGGAGAAGAACTGATGCCTGCTCTAACGTCCATCGATCCACAGCTCTTTCTCACACTTGTCTCTCTGTCTCTACAGATTCTGGGGGAAAAAAAACAATAACAGACAGCTGCTGCTTCACAAGAAACTACAACAAAGCATTTAATCACTCGGCACTGACAGCACAGGGATAATGTTTCTGCTGGTGACTTTGTACATTTGTCTCTAGCATTATGTTATTAGCAGCATTTGAAAAAAAACACTTAACTTACTTTAAAAGGCACAGTGTGTAGGATTTGTTGTTTTCAGCGGCATCTAGTGGTTGAGTGGTTGAATCATCCTCCCTGATCCTCCCCCCACCCCCGCTTCCAAATGCAAAAGGAGTTGCTACGGTGTCTCTCAGGTGTCATAAACCTTTGATAATTCCAACCGRGATGTCTACCAGCAGCTTCAGGGCTAGTGATGTTTCAAGTGGTAAGATTATGAGCTTTAAAGGGGACCTATTATGCAAAATTCACTTTTTAAAGGTTTTTTTTTAACTCAACTTTGGGTATGTACTTCTTAAAAAAAACAGTCCTAGGACCAAAAAAAGTGCACCCAGGGGCATATTTACTGTAAGTAAATGTATTTTTAATGTGTATTAACGACAAGTTTTATACTTCCGTCATTTTGTGATGTCACAAGCTGTACGACAACCCACCGAAACCTGCGTTCAGCCCCTTACCTAATAACCCCCGGGAGAAGCTCTTCCTCCTCAGTATAAAGAGCCGTCACGGTGTTGTTGAGCAGCTCAATTCACAATAAGCCACCAATAGGTCAATGGGTACAGTGTTACACCAGAGAGTAGGAAACCAGGGTTCAAGACTGGCATGGACACAATTTAATTATTTATTTTTGTTCGTTATGAACACGTTTTCTCATGTACCTCTATTGTTTAGCTTATTAAAGCCTTGTTAAAGCCTATTTGTTCGAGTTTCTGAGGTATTTTGACTGCTGCTGCTCCCTGCTCTGGTAACAGCATGCAGAGTGAGCGCAGAGCAGAGGAGGGAGAAAAAAAAAGCTGCGACCATGACTCTGCCTCTGGGTCTCATATGGTTGTACAACGGAGCTTCTGCTATTATTAGCCATGCTAACGTAAACGCTGGCTTTGGAGGGCGGAGTTAATGTCAACAGATTTTTGGAGGGCGGAGTTAATGTCAACAGATTTTTGGAGGGCGGAGTTAATGTCAACAGATTTTTGGAGGGCGTTACCAACAGAGCTCATTAACGAGCTCATTAACGTAAACAGCTCTTCTGAACGGATGTCAGAGCAGGCAGAACTAGAAAATGGGAAATTTTATTATCTGAGAATTATTTTGTGCATTAACTTGAATGAACGTGGTCTGGATAGCCCACAGACATACCATAAAAATTTCTAGGACCCATAATTGGTCTCCTTTAATAAGTAAAATTATCCCAGCTACAATGACAGACAACAAATATTACATTTATAGTATTACAACTAAAACCGTTTTTGACGCCGCCACCGCAGTTTGTCCTTCATGAGCCTCCGTCGACAAGATGACGGCTGCCTGTAATGGCGACCATGGAGATATAAACAGGTTTTTATAAGGTGAAAATAATAAAACAAGGTCTTTGTCTGCAATGACTAGACATGTTTTTTATTATTGTCATTAGTGATTATTTCAATTTCGGCTAAAAGAATTGACAAAATCCTACACACTGTGCCTTTAATGAAACTCTTGAGTTATGACTAAAATTAAAATCCATAAAATTAGTGATCTGGGGTCTCATTTATAAAGGATTGCGTGGAAACCATACTAAAAGTGAACGTACGGCCAAAAGGCAGAAATGGCGTACGCCAAAAATAATTCAGATTTATAAAACCATGCGTACGCACGTTTCTGCGCAACTTTCCTTTATAAATCACAGCCGCACGTCAGAGTTTGCGCATGAGGTCCCGCCTCAGGTTCTACCCTCTACACGCCCACATTCAACCATAAACAGTCAATGTAAAGTACCTCATGAATGTTAAGATGTATTTAAATCAGTCAGCTGATCAATGCCAACAAAAGTGATTGGTTCAGACACGCTCCGTCGTGTGTCTGGAGGTTGACAGGTGCTGACTGACAGCTGCTCACGTGAACAGATGGTCTGTAACTGACACAGATTTTCCCTCATTTTGCTTTAGAGTAATCTTAACGATTTTTATAAAAAAAATACTCAGCTTCAAATTAATTTTCCATCAGAGCCTGCAGGACGATAAAAACAATAAAAATAAAATTAAATAAGTCAGATAAAATTAGAAGTAAGTTCACTGCTCTTCTCCTCGTCCTCTCCCCCTCCTGCCTGCTCTGTTATCCGCGGCAGACGCCGCGGCTGTCTGGGATTTGCGCACAGGAACTTTTATTTAAGATTTACGTTTTTTTTATTTCAAAGGTCCTCATGGCTCGGCAGCAGAAGCATAAATATTACTGTTAAGAAAGCTGATGATAAAGTTGAATAAAAATCTAAGTCTGATTCTGAAGGTAAATTAAATATCTGACAGTGATCATTACACAGTGTGGCTCTAATTCTTCACTTCACCATCTGTGTCGCAGTTTCACGTCTCCAAAATGAGCGTATGCATGGGTCTGAGCTGGCGTGAGGCACCGCACATTTTCACGTCAAGTTTGGATTTTATAAATCACAACCTTGGCGTAAAAAGTGGCGTACGCAAATTTCTGGGCTCAAATTGTGCGTACGCCAGTTTTATAAATCCGACCCCTGATCTGTTACACTTCTCACCAGCTGACGGCAGAGAACTCTACTTGAAAACAAACAATTTTAGTCACAACTTGAGACAGGAATGAGCTAGCTGCATGAAATTTGAAGGCTGTAGATTTGGAGAGGTTTACCAATTCAGCTTGGTGAACAGAGCTCTGACCAGCTTGGAAAAGATGTACAAGTCAACCAAACTCAACATGGCCACCTCAGCTAATTGACACTAACCTACACAAAAATATCAATCTTTGTGAGAAATTTAGATATTGGTGTGGTAGCAGCTTAGAGGCATTTACAACACAAAAACATTCCAAGTGTTAACAGATCATGAAAGACATCGCAATATCACAAAATTGTACATACAGTAATTTTTGTGTATAATGTGAAAATTTTAACCTCATTTAAAATGTCAAGCCCTAAATCATCCACAAAGTTGGCAGGTTATATATGTGAGTAAATGTTGACGATTTTGTTTCTGTAATGTACTACCACAATAACTTTCAATATTTTCTGCTATACAACAGAAATACTGTCTCAGGGGATAAATCATAACTTCTACCTCTACCGTCCCACTGTCACGCATAGCTAAGCATTTCAACAAAAGAGGTTGTTTTCACATCAGAGTCAGGAGGAAAACCCCTTTTTTTTTCTTGTTAACCACGGAGATTAAAAGATGACGGTGACATCAGTTGCATGTTTGAATGCTCAATTAGACCTCAAAGCTGTCCATATTGCTAATTTACCAGAGGGTACACAGCATTTGAAGCTCTAAAATGGGCGTTTGCGTAATATTTTTTTCAAGGTTGGACTAGTTTTGGTCAATCATTTCTCATCATGAGATAAATAAATAAATAAATAAAAACTCTGCCAAGAAAGGTGGCAGGTGATCAACATTATTTCAAAGATTGCCAGGTAATAATATTGATATTGATTCAGTTTGATTCACAAGTCAAACACCTGAAGTTAGTGCTTCTCTGAATCCGTGAAGGCCCTGGAAGCAGAAACACCTGAGTGTCATAGGCGTTGTAGTCCACTTGTATGAGCAAACTGTTGTCCGTGTCCTTTGGTGCAGAAAGAGCTTGAAAAGGCCATACAATCAACGTTTAGTTACACTGAAATAAATCAATAACATAAAAATATAAATAAAGAAAACGCTAGCTGACTAAATCTTACCGTGATCTTTACTGCTTTTATATGTCTCTGCATGAACCTAGAGAATAAAGACAGATTTTACAAGATGAATAAACTTAAAGATATTCTAGAACTAGATTTAGGAGAATTGACAGAGAAATGTCAATTTACCTTACGTCCAGCCAGTTTGATTCGTGGAGTGAAAGAGCTACAAGAATTCTGACTTTTTGAGGTGTAGAAGCTGTGAAAGTGGAGGAACATGCAAATCACCTTTAAATTCAAATATAACACAGAATTTTTATATTTAGAGTTTTGTTCATTTTTGGTAAGCTTTTACAATAACCTGTCTTCTCTTTCCTCTAGTATTTACTTAGCTGGTCATCAATTTTACTGTCTAACTATCCGTTTTTATACTTTCAGCTACGGTTTTACTACTTGAGATTTTAGAAATCATTTTACAACTTTTAGCTAACTTTTTGTTATGTTTAGCTAGTTTTTGTTACCTTTAGGTTTTAACAAGCTTTTTATATTTTTAGTTAACTTTTTGCTACATAAAGCTTTTAGCTAGCCATTTAGCTTTTAGCTAGTGTTTCGATTCTTTTAACTTTTAGCTACTGTTTTGTTCATTTTAGCTTTCAGCTAATGTTGTGCTTCTTTTAGCTTTAACAAATCTGTTTTATCTTTTTTAGCAAAGTCATTTAGTGGTCAGTGTTCACACAGCATTTTCACAAGAGGTTTCATCAGTATTCTGGGTGTATTTGTGTTCTCATCAGACAGGCTCTCTTGCCTATGATTGATCCAGTGGGGAAGGTTGTAGTCGTCTCCTACACGTGAATCTCCAGGTGTCATCTTGCTATGCAGCTAAAAAAGAAAAATAGGCCATAACTTACAAATGAATATATAATTAAATCTATGAAGAGCAGTTAATGATCTGAGTGAGTCACCTTGAATAATGGTACTGCGTGCAACGGCTGCTCTCCCATACACACCAAGTCGACACCAATCCCTATATGGAGACAAGTGAAAATTATCAGCTTTATACATTATCTCCCTTTTTTTTTTAAAGAAGAAAACATCTACAAACTGACCATTGTCAATCATACGCTGTTTGGTGAGAATCATAAGCAGGCGGTCGACTTCAAACACTCCTACTCCAGGCGTGATGACCACTGACATCTGGCCGGTGCGGTCAAAGTTTCGGTTGATGTAGTGCTTGTCAAAAACTGAAGAGATCATTTAGAAATTAACTTCAAATATTTGACACAAAATTATAGTCAAATGTTGAAAAACTAAACATTTTACATTTTCTTTTTCTCACTGAACCTTTAAAGATACCTGCTAGATGGGTCCTTAGTTTCAGGGCTGATAGTGGAAAAAACATCCTGAGCCTCAACGTTTTCCACCCCCACCCCACCCCTCTCATACACCCTCACAATCCCATTTCTGTCTGCATATACACTGATAATATTATTAGAAAAAAATTAGAAGCAGATATCTATCAATCAAGCACGTCAATAAAAATGCAGTTTCAAACAAAGGGTGTTGCCTGTGATATTTTATTTAAATATCATCTTTTTGAATTCAGCAGCACAACTGCAAAATAACCTCTCTATCGTCAACTTTTATCACAAAGCATCAACGTGCACATTATCAAGGTTCGTATGTTTAACAAAATAGTGCCACCACAATTTTTGGCATTGTCGGCAGGATTTACAGAGAATGCAGAAACACGTTGGAATAATGCCAGAAAAGTCTGCGTGTATGGTCGTAAATAAACTATTTAATTCTGAGCAACAAACAAACAGGACCCAATCAAGGAAGTACCGTTGGCTCGCTGCTGACACGTCAGCGGACACAGCCAATAATATACACCATGATAACATCATATGACGTGCTTATAACCAATCACAGATCGCCCCATGTACTCTCCAGCCTATCACAGGGCTCCCAGCACAAAGAGTGTCTTATCAAACAAGAGAGGTCAGTCCGTTGCGGAGTCCAGTTGTCTGGACAAACAGATTAACATTGAAACATGTGACACAGATAGATAATTAGTCCATAACAAACTCGACGCCAACCGTTGCTGATGTCTCCCGTTTCAGATGGAGAGCATTTCTATGTCCCCACCTCGACGACGGGGGACAAAAAGGGCAATTTATGAACCTGCTTGTAGCTAAATGTACTTGACCCTTAAAAACGACAACTAATGAAACAGACAAACTGTACAAACTAAATCAACAGAATGTATGTGAAACCTGTAATTATTATTTCATATTTGATCATTAAATGTATTGCAGTTTCCATAAAGTCTGGTTTCAAATATAAACAATTTTGCTTAAAATCCCCAAATGGCCTGTTTTTGATGGTAGAACTAGAATAGTTCCTGGATAAACTATGAAAGGTCTTGTCTCTTAGTGTGGTACTATTTTCAACATAAACTTGAGGGACTTCTCTTGGCTACAACTACACCAAATTTCGCCTGATATGTTTTAAAACGGCAGTTATTGCAATTTCGAATTAGCTATGTAGCTATAGCTAGCTAGTAGCCATCTTGAAATTTGATTAACATTCAGAATTTGTCAAAGCTTTTTCTTGGCCACTACTATTCGTGACTACTACTATTGTTTCAAGTTTTTTTTTTTTCAAACTTAAAAATAAATTAATTTACTTTGAGCACCGCTCCAACTTCTGGTGGATCTGAATCAAAGTTTTGCTGATATCCAAGTCCCGCTCCCATCTGATAGGCCTGTCTAGTGCGCTTAGACTGAAATTAATAATAGGCTAACAAAAAGTATCAATAACACGTAAAAAAAAGCTCCATAACAGTATCAATCTCCTGTATGAGCTAAACATTTTGATACCCGAATAACTGAAATGGCACAAAGTATGCAGAAGTTGCTAAATTGAAGGAAAAAATGTATAGGAAAAAAAAAAACAGAAAAACAATAACGTGAATGCTGAGTCAGCATTCACACAAGAACTTAAATACATCACAATCAATTTTCTTTAAGAAATACCTGGTTAAAGTACTCAGTGTCCTGAGAACAGTTTTACTGGTTTTTTTTCTGCTACTTACCATTAAATGAAAGATTAATGGCTTCCAGGTAGTTTCCTTGGACAGCAGTGGAGTTAAAACCCACAGGAAAACCATCTGCGATTAAAACAAGTTTTAAGTTACAAATGAAAATGATTTCAAAAGTCCCTTGGATAGAAACACCGTGGTTTCTTTCAGTACCTGCTTCTTTTAACCGTACCAGGACAGGGTACTGGATGAAGAGTTTCTTAATGGTGACCAGTAACGGCGTCCACTCATCCCGTCTCTCATTCTGTGCCACGACCCTAATCAAGAAAGGGTAAACAACTACAGGTCCTTCTCAAAAAAATTAGCATATTGTGATAAAGTTCATTATTTTCTGTAATGTACTTATAAACATTAAACTTTCATTTAGTTTAGATTCATTACACACCATCTGAAGTAGTTCAAGCTATTTATTGTTTTAATATTGATGATTTTGGCAAAAAGTAAAGAAAAATCAAAAATCCGTATCTCAAAAAATTAGCATATTTCATCCAACCAATAAAAGAAACGTGTTTTTAATGCAAAAAAGTCAAGCTTCAAATAATTATGTTCAGTTCTGCACTCAATACTTGGTGGGGAATCCTTTTGCAGAAATGACTGCTTCAATGCAGCGTGGCATGGAGGCAATCAGCCTGTGCCACTGCTGAGGTGTTATGGAGGCCCAGGATGCTTCGATAGTGGCCTTAAGCTCATTCAGAGTGTTGGGTCTTGTGTCTTAA